TAAGAGAATACCTGTTCTTTGTAAAATTTCTCTTGCATTTTAGATTTTTTGCTGCCAAAGAAATCTTTGATGTGATTGGCTGAGTCGCGAGTTAGAAGTTCACAGAACAACGAGTTTGTGCTACCAGATTGTCGCACTATAAGAATGTCTTTCACATGCCCCCTTATTTTGGAGATGTTGAAAGATTAGAAATCGGTTAATGAGGATGTTACGTGAGAGGGGGGGTTTTAATTTTTGAGGTTTGTTTGGTTCCACTCGCGCTAAAACGAAATCCCAGCGCGACCGTGACATAATTCTGGGGTTATGTTTGACGGAACCAGAGTCATGTGAGGTAGTTAAGTTAGTACAAATAGGGGACATGTGAAAACACCCATTGTCACAAAGTGTCACGATGCGTGACACATGCAATTAGGTATAGCACCGCATCTTCGTTCCTAGCTAGAATCAGCAAAGTTAACCAGCCTTCACTTACTTGATGGCAAAGGTGAAAAGTGGCACAGTCAGTCAAATCACGCTCGTCAATTTTTTTTTTTTTTTTTTTTTTTTTTAAAAAAAACAATGTAATGTCTGACATATGTTAAATCTGATAATGGTTCTATTGTTTTATTGCATAATGTTAAATTACGTAAAAGGGAATCACAAAAAAAACCCCCACGATGTTTTTAATATAATACAAAGCGTGGCGAAATGGTATTCGCAGACAAAAGCTAAAATGTGGTTCAAAAAAAATAAAAAAACATCGGAGAAGAATATAATGAATGAAAATTTTGTCATTATTCGCAGAAAAAAAAAAATAAAAAGCACGGATGACACTGCATGATGCCATCAAAAAAAATTTTCTGAATTCTATTCTTGGAAAAAAAACATTCAAATCCCCAACCTGAATTTCCCAATTATTTGAAAATGACATTTAATCTGAATATGTTGATTTTAGGTATTGTACTATTCACCCCAATCCTTTTGTTTTTTGTTTGTTTTCATTTAAGATATTAGCCAAAAAATAATATCATTATTATTATTTATCCTTATTCATATTATTGAAATAATAACGATAAAAAAAAAAAACCTTAATTTGATTCACAGATCGCCGCAGTGCAATTTAAAAAAAAAACTTGGAAGAAATAAAAAATCCCCCCATCGGAAAATTGGTAATTCAGTCCTTGATGGCTCAATTTATTTTTTTTTTTTAAAAAAAAAACACTCGTAAGATCCTGCAAGGAACTGCAGCTTGTCCGCAAAAAGAACATATATATTTACATCAATTGATGTAAAATGAATATTCGAACGTGTAAAATGAATAAAGATTCGGATTCATTCTGGTGCATGACATCGACGTGCATATTCGTCTTGAATGTTGACATACTTATATACATGTACAATATATCACACAATGTTAATTAAGTTGAGCGCAGTGTTTCTTTTTTTCTTAAAATTCACACGTTAACAATTCCAAGTCATTTAGGTTGGATATATTTTCCGATAAAATGAATTTTTTTCAATGTTCACTTTAGAAAAGGAAAAAAAGAAATTTCTGCACATGCGCCCAATGCCTGTGCGCTCAGATTGCTTTATGCACGGTCTCGTTTTGTACAATCTACTTATTTGAACGTAATATGTCCAAATTTACATGTTACTTCAAAAAAGCCATTGAAAAATTTGAATGCAACCTTTTTTCTATATCGCTAATGTTTTTTTAATTTTTTTTTTTTTTTTTGCTTCGAATTTCGATTAAGTCTAATAATGGGAAATCCTATAATAACCCCAGACGATATTAGCGATTAGAGAGATTTTTTTTTATTTATACAAACAAAAAATCTTGCGGATGTTTCATTTTTTTTTCTCAAGATGATTGGATGTCTGTCCTGTCACTTTTTTCGGTAGGCCATGTGTTTGGATGTTGCAGCAAGCAGAAGCGATGCATCTTTGACTCAACCATATGGTTAAGCAAGGTACAATAATCACCTTCCCAACTTACCAAATACAAATCATTCGCTTTTGTTATTAAGAAAAAATATTATTTTTATTTATTTATTTGAAATCATATAAAAGAATACATAATAAATTAAAGTTTTCATTAAATTTTTCGGTTCTAATTATTACGATTCCAGTCTTAATATCTCGTAATATCGAAATATTTTGTTTTGCTATCAGATCAATTTCATTCCATTATTATTATTATTATTTTATTCTTTCACAATCTCAATCCATCTAAATCTGAACATATTTTCCTTTAAAAATCATATTTTATAGTATTGTTATTTTTGTCATTTTTTATTCGATCCATTTTTTTTTTTTAATTAAAGAAGAAAAAGAATTTACATAAAATATAGTGTGAAAGTGTCATCCCAATATGAGTATACAAATTTTTATCACACTCGATTGATCGATTGCACAATCATACTTCTTGGCCCGTTTATCTTATCTATTGATATATTTTTCGTGATGAATTGAAAATTTGATCGCGATATTTATCACGTGTTCAATAACTCGCGATCGTCGTCTGAAGTCCATGACGTCAAAATATGATTTTACTTTCCTTCAAGGGAAATACCTTGTTGATCAGAACGCGTTAATGTGTTAAGATTATCAAGTTAACTGCCGGTTGGAACAGTCAGGAAGGACATTGGACATACAATGGACATTAAATGACTTCATTGGATGACTAAGTTAAAATCTCAATACACCGGAATTTTTATTAATGTACCCCCTCTTTATATTATAGATCATATTTTCAAAATCGAAATTGAAATCTCCACGGAATAAGAAATAAGAAAAATTAAATGATCTTTCATAATCTAATAAATTTTGCTTGTACAAATCTTCTATCGACACATAATTCTCTTGCTCTATTGATGGTTTCCTTTTCAACATATTCACCACTAATCATTCGAAACAATTTATCCTTTTCAAATAAATCCTTGAGATATTCAATGGTGAAAAAATACGACATTGTACCATCTTGCCTCACGTATAAATTTTCATCAAGTTTATGCGTGCCATCACTTGAAAATTTTAATTGAGTCTCATCGTATATTGCGTAATCACGAAAACAAATCACGGAATCTTGTCTCGTTACCTAAGGAAGGGATTTCTTTTAGAAAAACAAGTTGCAATCGTTATTTCATGAACCAACATCAAAATTTACCTTTGATATGTTTCTTATAACATCTAAATGTTTTTCAGGCGGTATGGAAGATAAAACGAATATTGATGAAACT